ACAATGAAATCCAAATTGGTAAAAATTGAAACACTGGAGCAAGTGGATAAATATTGAAAAAAACGACAATTTCCTGGTAAAAGTTTATTAAATTTTGTTTTAAATTCAAAATCAAATGAAAAATGATTTGTAATTAAAATTACTTTAATGAATTAATTTTTTAATTACATGATACTCAATTATTTATTAAAAATTATTACACAAATCAAAATTAAGAAAAATTTTGGAATGGAAAATTACAATAGTAAATTTAGTACCAAAAGAGTAAAAAAATTTATCATGAAAGTAGAGAGTTATATATTATTTTTAATTCCTAATAGGATTCTTTAAAAATCGCACCTTCCTGGAGTTAAAAGAAAAGGGGTAAAATTTAGGGAGTTGAAATTTTACTCCTTCTTTGCAACTAGATTTAAGACGGAAAAATCTACTCCTAACTTTTGACGTCGTAAATTTTTTACAGTTTACACGTTAAAATTAACTTTTTAACTATAAATTTAAAATTACCAACAAAACTCCGAAGAGATTTAATAATAGATTTTTTTCATTCACTTCCAAAATTCTCTTTTTGAGTGGATTTTTAATTTGAAAAATTTTCCTCCTAAGTCTCGATGTGATTTTCTCGTTAAATTTTGAAAAATAAAATCTAAATTTTTTTTAAAAGTTGCGCATATCGAGAGTAAATTTTACTATTTCAAATTGTACTATTTTGGAGTAAATCCTACTGGGTTCGAAGTAAATTTCATTAATTCTTACTAAAAATTTAATTATTCAAAAATAATAATATTTTTACTCTAAAAATGGTAAAATTACTTTCGGAGTAAATTTTGCTACGTTAAAAGTAAATTTTATCAATTTTTACTTATAATTTTAATAATTATTAATAATTTTGCTAATAAATAATAAAATAGTAAATACTTATAGTAAAATAATAAATAGTAATAGTAAAATAGTAAATAGTATTAGTAAAATAGTAAATAATTCTTACTAAAAATTTACTTATTCTAAATCGGAGAAATCTACTCCGAAAATAGTAAAATTTACTCCGAAAGTAGAAAAAATAATTTAGGAGTAAATTTTGCCACGTTCAAAGTAAATTTTACCAGTTTTTACTAAAAATTTACTTATTCAAAACTATTAAATTTACTCATCCGAAAATAGTAGAAAACAAAGTGCAGTAAATTTTATTATCTTCGGAGTAAATTTTACAATAAATTTAAGGAATATAAAATTAGTTACGTTTGAGGAGCATACTACTAATTGTACTAAAAATTTATTTATTTGTAAAACAGTAAAATTTACTCAAAAAAAGTACCAACGTTTGAAGAACATTCTACTAATTGTACTAAAAATTTATATATTTGCGTATAGAGCAGTAAAATTTTCTCAAAAAAAAGTGGAAGAAATAATTTCAGAAATTTTTTTTTATTATTTTCGGAGTAAACATTGCAAGGTTCAAATTAAATTTGAGTAATTCTTACTAGAAGTTAACTTATTCGAAATCAGCAAAATCTACCAAGAAAATAGTAAAATTTACTCCAAAAGTAGTAAAATTAATTTGTGAGGAAATTTAATTATTTAAGGAGTAAAAAATCGTTATTTTCCAAATAAATTCGACTTATTGTACTAAAAATTCATTTTTATTTGTAAAATAGTAAAATTTATTCAGCAATTAATAGTAAAAAAAATTCCAGAAATTTTTTTACTATTTCTGGAGTAACACTTGCAAGGTTCAAAGTAAATTTTAGAAATTCTTACTAAAAAATTATTTATTCGTATTCAGTAAAATCGATTCCGAAAATAGTAAAAATTTACTCCAAAAGTGGTATTTAAATTAATTTGTGAGAAAATTTTGCATTGTTCAAAATAAATTTTACCAATTTTTACTAAAAATTTACTTAGAAAATAATCGAATTTACTTATCCAAAAGTAGAAGAAATACATAATAAGTAAATAGTAAAAAAATATAAACTACTGATAAAAATAAAAAGTATTTAAAAAAACTACTGAAAGAAGTACAAATTATTGGAAAAATAAAAACTACTGAAACAAATAAAAGCTACTGAATAAAATAAAAAGTACTAAAAAACTACTGAAAAAATAAAAACTACTGAAAAGGTATAAAGTCCTGAAAAAAATAAAAACTACTAAGAAAATAAAAACTACAAAAAAAAAATAAAAATCACTGAAAAAAGTAAAAACTACTGGAAAAATAAAAACTACTGAATAAAATAAAAACTAGTGAAAAGGTATAAAGTCCTGAAAAGAATAAAAACTACTAAGAAAATAAAAACTACAAAAAATTAAAAACCACCTGATAAAATAAAAAATACTCAAAAAAATAAAAAATACTGAAAATAATAAAAACTTCTAAAAAAAATGAAAGAGAATATTAAGATTTTCAAAAATAAATTTCACAAAACTACAAGGGGTGGAAAATACTGGTGTCGAGCCTGAGCTCTCCTCACGCCCTTTTCTCTTGCCAACTGCTGATCGACCAGCGCTCTAGGGAAGACACATGCTTATCCTTTGTTACGCTCTTCTTTCTCTTACATTTAATCGAAATTAACATGACCAAATTTCATACAAAATAAAAATTTCCCACAATTCCAATAAATTATTCCTTATAAAATGATTTCATCAAAATTTGCAAAAAAAAAAACACCTTAATTAGAATTTATCATTTTCTAAGTGCAAAGATATAAGAGAACTCAATTGATTTTAAAAAGCTTTTCATTTAACACTTGAGGTTTTTCATGCAGCCACTTTTCATATGGCTGGTATTCTCAAGTCTAAGAGGGTACTTAGACAGAGGAAAAAAAAAATGATGAAACCAAAAAGTGAGAATAACTACGACGTGGGATGAAAATTAAGCAAAGAAACTTGACCAACCTCAAGTCTCTTTTTATTTTTCTTCATTTTTTTAGAGAATGAGAATAAAAGATGTCTCGCAGAATTATTCTTTTTTTCTTGTCTCTTCAAATAATTACATTTTAGCCATTAGTTTTAATTAATTAATTTAAGAGAAAAAAAAAATTTTTCTTTTCATACATCGTCGCACAATTATCTGCAAGTTATATATTGAAAAATTGAATTTTTACTCTCCTTTCTGAAAACAACTTCTTTTTGAGATGAAAACTGACAAGCTTATTACGCTGACAGCTCATTAGTGATAAGCGGTATGTTTTCAGGAGGGCAATTAAAATCCTTTTAAGTTTTCTTTTGAAAAACATAATTTTTCTAAAATAGGTAAAATGTTAAATAAGCGAAAAATAGAGTATTATCGTCTGTTGGAAGTAGGGGGGAAAAGGGAGGGCAGGAGGAAAAAAAATAATCTTCAGAACAGGAAATTGGAAATTTTTAATTACCTACTTTTTTATAAATACAAACTCGATGTTCATTTTTGTCGTAATTAAAATGTCAAATCATGTCTGCAATGTTAAAATTTCTCTCTTTTCTTTATCGAGTTTCGATCTTTTTTTTTTTGTTTTGTTTAAAAATGTAAAATTTGTTTCTTCTTTTCTTTTTGATGGAAAATTTGTTGTAATATAAATAAATAAAAGGTAAGCAAAAAGTAAACTTGTGGATTATTTTTATTTACTTTTATTTATTATTTATAATTTATATATTACTTTAAAAAAAAATTTTTTAACATCTAAGTCACCAAAATTGTATCTACTTCATCTATTATTTATTTTTTAGTAAATTATTTATAATTTTTTTTCGCTTCATATAATTTATTGAATTTTAAGAAGAAAGAAAATTTTAAGAATTATTTTTAATTTCGAATAATAAAATAGCAAAGGAGGGAAATCTTAAGGGAAAAAATAAAAAACAAAATAAATAAAAAATTATTTTGTCAACTTTGTATAAAAAATTATAAGTCAAAGAAAACTAATTTTGGGAATTATATTTTATTTTTAAAAATAAAATAGCAAAGAAGGCATCACCACGAGGGAAAGTGTGAAAATAAAAAAATTATAAGTCAAAGGTGTGGAAATATGCTCTTTACACTTGGCAACAAAGGTTTTTAATCAGTAGAATTTCCAATCGCGTTAAGGTTTGTGATCACAATGTACTGAAACAAAGACAGTAAGTGAGTTTCACTGTCGTGTAAAAAATTTGTACATTTCCTTCAAGATGAGTAATCTTACGTAATTGTTAGTTTAGAAGAAAAAATTGCCTGATTATTTCAATAATTCGTTTATTTTTCTAATTAATTTTCAATACCTATAATTATGAAATTCCCTAAATTATTTTTATTGTTCGATTATAAAAATGAAATAAAAAAAGTATTCATTTGCTTAGCCAATTAATTTTCAAAATCTAATTTTTAACTCCTAAATTATTTTTATTGAATATTAAAATACCTACAATAAAAACAGTTTTGAAATAAAAATAGTATTTTTCCGAAAGAGGAAAATTTGGTTTTTTTTGGTTTAAAAATTACGGAATGAACGAGAAGAAAATATTATTACTTGTTTGTTGTCCTATCTTTCGAAAAATTTAAAAATATTGAATATGAAAAATTTTTTAGTAGGTACACTACCCAAGTAAGGTAAGTTACCTTCAAATTAATTTACCAGTCGGTATGATTTACCGATCGACGTTAGTTTACCGACGGACGAACCTCCGAATACCTTTCAATGGTAAATAACCGACGGATGTTATCCTAAATATGTCGAGTTACTGTCGGTACAGTTACATCCTCTGTCGGTAATTCACCAACCGATGTTCATTTACCCACCACTTTCCCACTGTAATTTCCTTTATCATTTGTCAATCAGAAACATTTAATCAAAACCGAAATTTTAATTCAAAATTCATGAAATTAAATGCAAATTTTCGAAAAGTTGCTTTTCTTCTTTTTTTTATCAGTCATAAAAAAATAATTACAAAACAAAGCTTTTTTTTATTGAGATGGTATAAACAAATTCAATTTTTACCTCACAGAAAATTAACAAGAAAGGAAAAATCTTGAAAAAGAAATATTAATAACTTACCCCCTTCGTCTGTGGTGACAGTAACCGAAGTTGGTGGGCCTCGACCTTCTGGATTGAAAACTTCTAAAGAAACTAAGTACTGGGTGTATGTTTCCAAGTTGTGGATGGTGTGGCTCTGAAATAGGAAACGAACTTAACTAAACTTTTAGAACTTGGTAAAAGTAATTAACTTCCAACAAAATTAATTTCAATTTAACTATGTATATGTGCATAAATACTTAAAATTTCCAAGCACTTGACAACAAAGTGTCTAAAAGCACGACTATATAATATACAATTTTCCAAGAAATTTAATTCAAATCTGTGAATAGTATGTATATTATTATTATTGTTTTTATTATTATTATTATTATTATTATTATTATTATTATTATTATTATTATTATTATTATTAAATTCTCCATGTACAATAATTTAAATGATACACAACTACACTGAGAAAATGTTATACTTAAATGAAATACAAAAGTTATTTTAAATGACTTTGTTTAATTGAAATTATTTTGTAAACCTAATCCCAATATATATATTGAAAATATCTAGTGCTTTGATTCAAAGAGAATTATTTGTTTGAATTATATTTGAAATTTGTTTTGAATGATATTTAATTTAAACATATATTCTGTTTTGGTTTAAATGAAAAATATGTTTGAAAATTGTATGTTTCATTTAAACTTAAAAGTTGATTATAAATAGGTATAGATTCACAATTTTGCAAATTATAAAATTTAATGCAATCAGTATATCTGTTTCATTGGAATTTATTTAAGACTAATAGAATATTAATAAATATTTTTATTCATTAAAATGAGATTTAATTGTTACAAAATTTAAACAAATTTATGATTGTTGTTATCGACAGTAATAGAAATACATTTATTTATTATTCATGTAAAATAGATTATAATTTTAATGAGACTACCAACTTTACATATATGGGAGTTTATAATAATCGAATGTAATAATTGTATTTTCAATAATTTTGATTTTTTGACGCACACAGCTTTTTTAGATTTAAAAAAAAATGATTTTTTACAGTCAAGTTTTTTAAATTATTCCAAATTCGATAATATTCGGTAATTTTCGATTTAATTAAAATGAATTTGTTCTATAAATTCAGTAGTAAAAATAACTTTTAGAAAAACAAGTACAATTTTTTTTTTACGTTCATCAGTAATAGTCGAATTAATTCCGATAATCTAAATTCTTTAATTTTGTATAATTTTCATACTGGTAGCAGAAACTCTTAATTAGTTATATAAATTTCTTGTATAATTAATTAGTACAATGGAATGTAATCCAAACATATAATATTTTTGGAATTCAATATAGGGAAAATCGATTTTTGTCAGACAATTTAATTTATTCTATAAATTTAGTAGTAAAATTAATTTTTAGTAAAGCATGTACAATTTAATTTTGTATAACTTTAAAGTGGTACCAGAATCTTGTAATTATATCTATAAATTTGTAATTAAAAGGTAAAAGTCAATTTAGTCGAATGTATTAAATTTTTGTAATTCAATAAAGACATTTGAAATTATTGTAAAATCAGTGATATAGTAGTCGTTTTAGTCAGACATTTTTAATTCTTGAAAGTTCAGTGGTAATAGGTACTCGATTTAGTCAGACATTTTAAATAATTATAAATTCAAAAGTAATAGTCGATTTTAGTCATATATTTGATTTTTTTAATTTAGTACTTTGTACAATTTTTTAGTGGAAGCATGAATTTCTGATTAGTTTTATACTTTTCTTAGTTCCTTACTTTTTTAATTAATAGTAAAACTCAATTTGGTAAATAATTTTAAACTCCTGTAATTTAGTAGAGAAACTATTACTTTTTAGTCAGACGTTGAAAATTATCGTAAAAATGATAATAGTCGATTTATTCAGACATTTTAAATTCTTGTAGGTTCAGTAGTATTACTCGATTTAGTCAGACATTTTAAAATTTAAATAATTAGAAATTCAGTAGTAATGGTCGATTTTAGTCAAACAATTAAATATTTTTGTAATTCAGTAGTAATATAGTCGTTTTTATCAGACAATTTAAATTCTGAATTTAGTAGTAATAGTAGATTTTGTCCAGATAGTTAAGTTACTTATAAACTCAGTAGATACACTAGATTTCTGTCAGACAGATAAATTTACCGAAAATTCAGTAGCAATACTTATTTGTAGTCAAATACTTAAAGTTCTTCAATATATAAATGTTGTAGTAGTTACAATATTTAAACAGACTTAATTGTTATCGGCAATAACGGAAATACATTGATTTATTATTCACATAAAATGATTTATAAGTTTAATCAGATTCTCAACTTTCTACAGGAAGTATAATTGAGGTTGAAATTGTTTTTCCAATAATTTTAATCCTCGTCTTAAAAAATCACTTCTTTTTCATAATTAATTAGACAATTACTATACATTACATCAAAATCAATTCATTAAAACTAATTATTAGTAAATATTTAAATTAAATTAAATTATTGTAAAATATTTTATCTCCCTTTCGTTCTACAAACTTTGAAGTGGAATATTGAATTCGAAATTCCCTATTTACGTGATAAAAGAATAATATTATATTAATTGAAATTTGAATAAGTGAGAAAATGAATTATTAATTAATTAAACTAATGATTGCAACAAATATTGATGTTCGTGAAAAACGATTATTAAGTTAATTCAATTAGTGATGTATTTTATTTGATTATTACTTGTGTATTAATTATCAAAATAATGTTTCCATATTATTTTTAGAAATTTAATTATATTAATGTTGGGGAATATTTTAATTTTTCAGGGAAAAAAGAATGTAAAAAGCTTATGGGTTTATAAATGACAGTGCACAAGTTTAGATTGAAGTAATCTTGAGGATAATTTTATTTCTCGAGAGCAAAAAAAAAAAAAAAGCTATCTGGAAATTATAAAGAGACTCCTATAAGCCTGATACTTTTGGTGGTCACGTTAAGATTTTCTATAAGCTCTAGGGGGATCAAGTTGGAGGCAGAGAGAATAGAGAAGGATTATCTGGGATAGTTGGATGCCTTGGAAGCCCTGGAGGGACGAAGCTTTGGAAAGTAGGTGACAGGGTCCCTAATTTGTGTTGGTAGAACACAACTACTTACTATGTCGGTCACAAAAGGACACTGATCTAACCCTTTCCAATCAGATTTTTAGACTTAGTATTTTTTTTCTCTTTTATATGTTATAAATAACAGTCTCGTATTGCTTTTTTTGAATTTTAAATTACCTAATACTTTTTTCTATTCGAAAATCAATATTTTTCAGTGATTTTAGTAGTAATGGGAACTTTTAGTCAGACTAAACGAAAAAACTTTCTGTAGAACTCTGTATTCTTAGAAGTAGAAAAATGTTGTACTAGTCAGACACATTGATAAAAATCGCACAGTAAAACGTGAAGTGTTAAAATAACACCAGAACTGATTAAAATAATCTGCAACAGTTTAATCCTTCTAGGATTAAATTAACACCAGAAAAGATTAAAATAATATATTTTGGTGTTATTTTTAAGTATGAATGAAATTTTACTTTAAATAAAACACCAAAGTCAACGATTTGTAAAAATTCAACGAATTTAGCTTCTCCAGGGAGAATAGTAATAGTTAGTAAGTTAGTTACTAACTTAGTTACAAACTTAGTAACATAGTTACTAAATTCAATTGTGTTCAAAAATTTAAAAAACTTCTCATCAAAATTTAAATTTTCTTTATAAATAATAAAATTATTCTCTGATATTCAATTATTTTACAAAATTTCAATCAAATTCTTGTCAAAATTTCAATTATTTTCAAAAGTTTTCTAAAATTCAATGATTTTCAATATCTACTATTTCAATAAAATTTTCCAAAAGAATTCCATTATTAAAAAAAATTTGAATAAAATTCTACGCAAACATTCAATTATTTTCATAAATAATAAAATTTTTTACAGGAATTCAATTAATTACAAATTTTTTTTATAAATTTCTTCGCAATAATTCAATTATTTTCATAAATAATAACATTTTTACAGGGATTCAATTATTTTTATAAATAATAAAATTCTTTTAGGAATTCAATTATTTTCATAAATAATAAAACTCATTGGAGCATTTCAATTATTTTTAATGCAATTTTAATCGAATTCCTCGAAAAATGTAATTATTCTTAAAAATTTTATTAAATTCGTCCAAAGAATTTAATGATTTAAAAAATTTGTTGAGAACATTTTTCTATGAGAATTTAATTTCAGGAAACATGAAATTAATAAATTATTTATTTTTGTATTTAAATAATTGAATTCTCGTAGAATTTAGTAATAAAAATGGTTTTAAAAATGAATTTCAATTAAAATTTTAGATTATAATTAAATATTAAAAGCATTATAACGTGGATTTTTAGAAATAATTAAATTTTGAAAAAGTTTCAAACTAAAATCATTGAAATTCTTAATTTTTGACAAAAAATTCTGTAGAATTAATTCTTTTTAAAAGTTTAATAGGATTTTTATTGAAATTATTTCAAGTTTTTATTTTTCAATATGTATATATTTAATTGCAGAATTTCCGAATAATTGAAATTTTGTAAATTTGAATTGTAAACGAATGAATTTGAAAATTCTCATAAAACTTATCGCAGCGTTTCAATAAATTTCCATACAATTATAATTGAATTCCTTGGAAAAAGTAATTATGTTCATGCAAATTTTAATAAAAGTCGACAAAAAGAATTCAATTATTTAAAAATTTGTTACTAACATTCTTTATGAGAATTGAATTTTAAGAAATATTTAATTATTCAATAAATTATTTACTTTTGCACTTAAATAATTAAATTCTTGTAGAATTTTCTAATAAAAATTGATTTTCATTTTATAAAAATGAATTTCAGTTAAAATTTTAGATTATAATTGAATATTAAAAGCAATGTAGCGTGAATTTTTAGAAATAATTGAATTTTGAAATTAATTTTTTTGAAAAAGTTTAATTGAATTTTCTTTTATATTATTTGAAGTTTTTATTTTCTAATATGCATTTAATTAAAGAATTTAGGAATAATTGAAATTTCGTGAAATTGAATATTGTAAACAAATAGATTTGAAAATTGCCAAAGAACTTTTTCGAAAATTATTAAAAATAATAGATATAAAGTAAAATTGTAGTTAAAATTTTTTGAAAATAATAATAGAATTGAAATAATGAAAATAATTTTAAAGAAGTATAATATTCTTAAAATATAAAATAATGATTTTATTATTTGGTCATCTTTAATTATTAATAAATATGAAGAAATCGATGACTCCGAGTCGAAGACTCGGAGTTATCGATATCTTCATGTTTTATAGTTATAAAAAAATTTAATAAACTAAAATTTCATTAATTGTAAAAAATAACACCAAAATTGATTATTTTAATCTTTTTTGGTGTTAATTTAATCTGCAACACTTTTTAATACCTCACGATTTACTGTATCAAGGTCAGTTTCTTATTGAAAGTAGTAAAAGCTGTTTTAGTCAGACATAACGTTAGAAAATTAAGAAAACGTAATAAGTGAAAAAACCCATACATATAGTCAGACAAACGATTTAATTACAGTCTGACTAAATGTTTTGTCGCGAAAAATAATTTATTACTAATTATATTATGAAAATTTTCAGTTGTGTAAAATAGTTATATTCAGAATAATAATTTCCGTAAGTTCATTTCCAGTAGTCAATAACAGTCAGACAATAGTTTTATTTCTCTGAATTCTGAATGGAATTTAAATCCTCGAGGAGAGATTATACTTTTTGTCCTATATTTTGTCCACTTGTTATTTTCCTTTTTTCGAGTATCAGGAAAAAAAAGGGTTGAAAAGTTTCTCGCAATATAGACAAAAAAAAAAAGAGGAGAAAGAAAAATCTCTTGGATATTCCATCTTACCTCAATGGTGGGATCACGGATGTAAATCTCCTTCTCCTCTATATCTTCGTAGCCTTTGTTGCTTCGTGGCCGATAAGAAATTCTGTATCCGAGAAATTCACCATGGATCGTATCGTGATTTGGTGGTTTCCACGCGATAAATATCGACGAGGCTGATGTATTATGGGCCAAGGTAATTGTAGGTTTTCCTTCAGGAACTGTAAAATAATATCAATAAATTTTTTTATTAAAGAAAAGCAAATTTTTATTTTCTAGTCAGAGAACAAATATTTATTTCTTCAGTCAAAAAAGAAAATTTTTCTTTTTTACTCAAAAAAACAAATTTGTGATTTTTTTTATATATTAAAACAATAAAATCATACATTTAAAAAAAGTAAAGAAATTGTAAGGTTTTTACTAAAATAGCAAATTGTAATTTTCGCCGTATTTTCTTTTGCATGTACATAAACAATGGAAAACACAATTTTAACTTGTAAAGTAAATGCAGAGTTTATTAAAAGTAAATATATAATTGCTGTGAATAAATTACATGTCACACATGGAGATTATATATTAGACTTCACAGTTGGAGGAAAACTTTGTGAATGTTTTACATTTTCTGCTAATTTATCATAAAAGTGTCACGTCATTATTGTAAATTGTTTCAATGAATTAAACACACAACGGTTAAATGGAGTATTTTAACAATGAAACGCGGTTGAATTAATAATTTCAAGAAATATTCTATTTTACCCATATAAAAAATTCATTTTTTTCTGAATTAATATTTTCCATTTTTTAAAAAAGCTACTTTTCTCTTTTCCCGTAATTTTATCTCAATTTAGTATGCAACAAAAATTACATATGAAAAAGAGCAATTATTTTTTTAAAAATTTTAATACCATTTTTCATTCAAAAATAATTTTTAACATTTAAAAGTAATAGTCGAATTAATGCAGACAATTTGAATTCTTTAATTTTGTATTATTTCATATTGATTAAACCAGAAAATTCTAATATTAGTTCAATATATTTTTTATAATTAAGTAGTAAATATTAATTTAGTAAAACATTTTTAATTCTTGTAATTCAGTGAAAAAACTAGTTTCTAGTCAGGCAGATAAATTTTTTGTTAATTCAGTAGTAATAGTCAATTTTAGTCAGACAATTAAAAATCTTCTAAATTTAGTAGTATTAATCGATTCAGTCAGACAATTTAAATTCTTCTAAATTTAGTAGTATTTCTGGATTTAGTCAGACAATATAAATTGTTTTCTTAAAGAAAAAGTATTCTTATTAAAATCAGTAGTAATAATCAATTTTAGTCAGACATTTAAATTTCTTGTAATTCAGTAGTGACAGTCTATTTAGTCAGACATTTAAATGTCTTCTAAATTCAGTAGTAATAGTCTGTTTAAGTCAGACAGTTTAATCTCTTAATATGTTAAGTTGCTTCATCGTTCAAAATTTTTCAATAAGATTTCTCGATACAATTTAATTATTTTCAAAAAGTTTTAAAAAAAATTCTGAGAAATTCAATTATTTAAAAAAATTTTAATAAAATTCTTCACAAAAAATTAATTATTTTCATAAATTATAATATTTTTTTCCGCAATTTAATTATTTCCACAAATAAAATTCTTCACAGGGATTCAATTATTTAAAAAAAATTTTAATAAAATTCGTTGCAAGAATTCAATTATTTTCATAAATAACAAAAATTATCGCAGAATTTCAATTATTTTTTATACAAATTTGAATAAAATGATAGAAAATTGTATTTATTCTTAGAATTTTTTTTAATTTCCCCAAAAGAATTTAATTATTTTTGAAAATTTTGATAAAATTCTTTACCTATAAACATTCAATTTTAAGAAATATTCAATTATTTAATAAATTGTTTATTTTTGTATTCAATTAATTGAATTCTAGAAAAATTTTCTAATAAAAATTGATTGAAAAATGAATTTCATTAAAAATGTTAAATTATAATTGTTTATAAACATTATTTTAAAAATAGAAAATTTAGTGATTTTTCTCCCATAGAAAAAATGTATTTTTATTTTAGGGTCGCTTTTTTTCTACTATTGTTCGAAAATTGTTTAATTAAAAAAAATTAAAATCCCTAGAAGTAAATTTTTGCATTTTTTATTTTATTATTCATTTATTTCACTTGTCTGCATAAGTGAATAAGAAACTTTATTTTATTATTTTTATTTCTGGTAAAAAAGACTTTGTCAAATGCGTAACAAAAAAAAAAATTTGAAAATTTGAACTAATAAATGTTTTTTAAAATTAAGAATTATAAAAATTAAGTTAATGTTTGTTTTACATTGTAATATTTACAAAAAAAAAATTTTTGCTTTAAAAACTTCCATATTAATAACAATAATATTTAAATTTTATTGATTTAATCTAATTAATTGTAATTAAAAATAAAAACTTTAAAGTATAGATTAATTTAAGTGTAATTTAACAAGAACAGTGACACTAGCTTTTTATAAATTCGGTAGTAGTAATAATTTGTAGTCAGAGATACAAAATTCTTATAAATTCAGTAGGTAGTAATAGTGGTTTTTAGTCAGACAAGTTTAAATTCTTATAAATTCAGTAGTAATAGTGGTTTTTAGTCAGACAAGTTTAAATTCTTATAAATTCAGTAGTAATAGTGGTTTTTAGTTAGACAAGTTTAAATTCTTATAAATGCAGTAGTAATAGTTGCTTTTAGTCAGACAAATTTAAATTCCTATAAATTCAGTAGTAATAGTGGTTTTTAGTAAGACAAGTTTAAATTCTTATAAATTCAGTAGTAATAGTGGCTCTTAGTCAGACAAGTTTAAATTCTTATAAATGCAGTAGTAATAGTGGTTTTTAGTCAGACAAATTTATATTCTTATAAATTCAGTAGTAATAGTGGTTTTTAGTCAGACAAGTTTAAATTCTTATAAATGCAGTAGTAATAGTGGCTCTTAGTCAGACGAGTTTAAATTCTTATAAATGCAGTAGTAATAGTGGTTTTTAGTCAGACAAGTTTAAATTCTTATAAATGCAGTAGTAATAGTGGTTTTTAGTCAGACAAGTTTAAATTCTTATGAATTCAGTAGTAATAGTTGCTTTTAGTCAGACAAATTTAAATTCCTATAAATTCAGTAGTAATAGTGGCTTTTATTCAGACAAGTTTAAATTCTTATAAATTCAGTAGTAATAGTGGCTCTTAGTCAGACAAGTTTAAATTCCTATAAATTCAGTATTAATACTCGATTTTAATCAGACACTTTAAATTCTGAGAAATTAAAAATTTAACTCTATTTTTCATTTGTAAAAAATAAAATAAAAAAAAATTTGTCTAATTTGAATAATTTTTGAATTATTTGAAACTCATATTAAATATTACATATACAAGCATAGCTAAACAATATCCGTTAAGTTGAGTGTGTATGCCGTTAATGTTTGCATTTCCTTTGGTAAAGTAATCTGAGCTATCGATATACCAAAGTACACTCTCACACATTCTGCATACACACATTTACTTCTATGTGTGTACACATATAATATACATATACACAGTCATTTGTGGAGTTACTTGTAAATATATACAATATCGAATGAGACGAAACGAGAAATGTGACCGGATGTGCGGAGAAGCATGACAGCAATCAAGAGGGTGCTATAGTCGATTCCCTAGTTATTGACTATTAGGTTTCTCTCTCTCTCTCTCACAATGTTTTTTGGCTTCAAGTCCCAATAATGAAAACTGAACATTCCCTGCAAAAAAAAAGAGAGAAAGAAAAAAAGAGAGAAAGAGAGAGAAAAGAGAACGGTATAAAAGACATCTATTGAATTCTATCTCTCTATTTCTTTCAGGGCAGGAAAATTAAATTCCAGCAGGGAAATCATAGAAAAATGCACTTTTTTATACTCTTTTTCAATTACTCTTCTTAATTGTCCTTTTGGACAATATAGTTTCATTTTCATTCCTTTGCTACGTTGGCAACAATGTAATAACATTGTATTCATAATTTAAAACGTTATTCCAAGAAATGTAACAATGTTATTCGATATCCATCTCTACTTTTATTCTCACATACACTCACTTTTTTTTCTTGTGAAAGCAAAGAAAATGCGAATAAATCGAAAATTGTTTGAAAAGTATTTAGAAATTAATTGAAAATAACAACTTCAATTTCAGTATTTTATTTATAGTATATTTATTTTTATTTTCCTAGTTCTTGTTTATCTTGTTTCGATTCATTTGCTTAGTTAAATTCTCTTTCCTTGAAAGCTCAAACAATTTTTTTTTTCATATAAAATATTCCTAATTTCAGTATTTTCTTTTTATTTTTTGCAAATTCTGCTTTATTTTTTCTTGCCTTTGTATTATTTATAATTTTATTTATTTTTTATTTATTTGCAATATTTTTTACATTTTTTTCCTTAAAAGACAAAAAAAAACTTTTTTATTAAATTTTCTGTTTTTTATTTTATTTTTTTTATTTTTTAAACTTGCTTAATTTTTTATAGGATTTTTATTATTTTCAGTTCATTTTGCTGCTGAAAAGTCTCTAAAAAATTTTCATTATTCAATTCCCTCAGCAATATTTCAAAACTATTTGACGAACAAAAGAGAAAATGTTCATGAAATATAATATTCAAATTTTCCAATAAAACAACACAACATTTAAAAACATTTTTTGGGGGGGATTAAATATTTTGCAAATTTTAAATTTCTAGAAAATGTCCAAACAATTTAAAGTTTTTTATGAATAAAAATAATTATTGGAAAAACAAGTCGAAAAAAATAAAAAATAAAAAATAAAACAACGAAGAAAAAGTAGTTTTTCGTCAGACATTTAAAATTATTATAAAATCGGTGGTGGACAATTTAAATGCTTGTAAATTCAGTAGTAATAATCGATTTTAGTCAGACAGTTCAATTTCTTGTTATTCAGTAGTAACAATTGATTAAGTCAGACATTTTAAACTATTTTAAATTCTTGTAATTTAGCAATAAAAGTAATTTTTAGATCAACGTTTTAAATTCTTGTAAATTCAGTAGTAATTGGTTTATTTTAGTCAGACAATTAAACTTGTAGTAATAATATTTTTTAGTCAAACAGTAAAATTTTTGTACATTTAGTAAAAATAAAGAAAAATTTTGTTAATGTTTATAAATTTCCTGTAATAATAATAATCGATTTTAGTCAGACAGTTACATTTC